AAATAATATATATATATATATATATATATATATATATATGTATTAAATAAATGAAATATAGTTCGAACGTTTATGATAAAGAAATTCGTCGTACTATCATCTATTTTTTAGTTAAAACGCGGGAAACAACAAAATAGAATAAAATAACTATAATTTTATTTGAATTCAACTTTAACCTAGTTTTTACGTGAAAAATAATACATAAAAAAATTATCATGCAATCGTAAGTTCAAGAAATTTGAAGATAAAAATGGAACTTCAAAGTTGTTTAAAGAAAAAAAAAATAGAATTAAGCTCATTTTTAGATATTACATTAGAGAAGAATTAAAAGAAGTTATACAAATAATATTTTTTAATAATATTGATATAAGAAATCGAGAATCATAATTATCATATACCATTCATGTCGCTTTTAATAGTGCTTACACGACCTCAACTACAAATTTAATTGTTCGAATGAGGACCCTCCACACTTCTTTCAGCAATATACATATATATATATATATGTGTGCTTATTTTAAAAATATTAGGTGTTAGGGGGTGAACGTTTCGATTCAGTTATTTAGAATCAATCGTAGCGAATCAAAAAATACAGTATTTTTTTCAATGCGAACCGTATAAATTTTCGAACGATATTAATTTTAGAAAAACCGAAATTTTCGAAATTGAACCGAAATAATATTTAAAAAACCCGAAAAACTGATTTCGTAAAGAATCTAATTTTTTTTTAATAAAGACTGAATCCGAATCGAATCAAATCTATTTTTATAAAATCGAAAAAAATCAAACTGAACTATTCCCGACTCAAACCTGAACCGAATATCGAAATTTTCTAGTCCTAAAGAATGTGTATTCATGTGCCAAGAATACGAATTAATTTACCAACACAACAAATACAAAACAAGGGGGCCCAATTAAATATCTCCCAAATTGGATGAGGTAATTATTTAATTTATACCTAAAAGAGAGAACAGAAAAAAGATTAAGCAAAGAAATTCTCAATAAATTCCTCTTCCAAAGCACCCCTTAGGTTCCCTCCCCACCGTGATTTCTCTCTCCCCTTGCCATTCTTTTTTTTTTTTTTTTGGGACGTAATTCCCTCACCATTCTCATTCATAGCATATAGACTCACTCAAAGTACATTGCCTGTGCCGTCTTCCTCAACTCCGAGTCTTTTGATTCAGAAAAGGTAATCTCTCTCTCTCTCTCTCTCTCTCTCTCTCTCTCTCTCTCTCTCTCTCTCTCTCTCGGACAAAACACAAGCGCGCGCGCACAGAAAAAACATTAGACACAAATATGTGTGCAAACATAGATTCTCTAGAGCAAAAACATGTACTGATGGATCATGGAATGGAACCACTAACCCTTACCAGAAATTTAAAAAAAAAAAAACAGTGTACTGTATATCTACATCACTGTTCTCCTTTTTCTTCTAATTAATTTTGCAGGGAAAGGGCACAAGTGTCATTCTCAAATGTGTCTTTAGGGTTTAATTATTCATGGCATCGAACCCCAAAAGAGACATGAACAACACCAACGACTTTGTGTTTTGCCCTTATAATCACCACTCCTCACCGCAACGGTTGCCCACTTTCAGCCCCTCGCCTTCATTCAACGACATCTTCGACAGCGCAAATCCTATACCATCCGATGATCATCACGCTCGCCATCGTCACCATCATCTCCAAGATTCCTCACCCTCTTCACTGTTTAAATTCGACCCAGAAAGCCTCTACGCCGTGTTCCTCCAGCCAAAAAATGATCATCATCATTGCCATCACCAACGCCAACCATCTCTAGATCTCCCCCCCTTGAACAACCCCGTCGAAGACCAAAGCGTTGAGGCCTCAGAAACAATCACGCACATGAAAGATTCAAAGAAAATACAGAGTTCTCGAGGCCCAGCTCAAGCTTCCAAGAAAAGAACAAGCAAAACAGACAGACACAGCAAGATCTACACAGCAAAAGGGCCGAGAGACCGAAGGATGAGGCTCTCGCTCGAGGTCGCAAGAGAGTTCTTTGGCTTACAAGACATGCTCGGATTCGACAAAGCGAGCAAAACTGTTGACTGGTTGCTCACACAGGCCAAACCCGAGATCAAGAAGCTCGCGAGCAACTTGCAGCAGCGAGTTAACAGCGAGGAGTCGCAAACACGTAAGCAAGCTCTTACCCTTTGTTACTTCTAATGAGTTTGTCCAAAAAGTTTCTATCTTTATCATTCTGAACTTAGGTTTTGCAATTGCTGAAGGACGGGCTGATCTTGGAGAAGTTGCATCTGGTTGGATCAGAGACGCAGGAAGCAAGATTAACACGTGTATGCGCACCGAATCATGTATATACATATGATTAGCATATAAATTTTCAATCTTTACAACTGCAAACTTATCATTTTGCATCTATTTCAATCATCGATTCTCTGTATACCTGTTTAGGGACGAACAACACATCGCATGTCCTATGTGAAGTTGCATCAGCTTCAACGAACAAAATCGATGGAAAATCGGGGAAAGAGAAGAAGAATAGATCGCAATCCAGAAACCCCATCTTCAGGAAGCTCCCAAAGGACGCGAGAGCAAAGGCGAGGGAGCGAGCAAAGGAGAGAACGAAGGAGAAGATGATGATGAGGCAAATAACTTCTCCAGAAGATGCGGTTTATATGAAGAACAGTGAAGTGAACGACCACTTGGGCACGAACTCGAACTGGAGTTCTTTCGAGACCGGGGAAGATTTGGTCCGAGAGACAGAAGAACCGAGCCCTAACAATCGGTTCGTTGCTTGTAATAACATTGGGATAATTCAAGAAGGTGACATCGGACAAGAATCTCTGGATATAATCAACAATTGGAGTCCTTTTCCCGTCTTTAATTACCATCAAAACCAAGGATAACTTCTTCCATGGAGGTACGCTATTGTATGTATATGTGTGTATATAATATTACAGGAATATTTCTATTTTTTGCGTCGGATTTGATAACTATTTCAAAATTATGTATTGCAACAGTTATATATTGTCAATTTGTAGCTATTATTATTTCCTGGTGACAAATACTACACATCTATTTAAAGATTTCAATATACATTAGTATACACATTAATAATATATAAACTATTTAATTGTTGCAACCTTTTCACGGTTGCAAATTTTTATAAACATCGCATAATGTTGTTTTTTGTACGAACAAATTGTATCCTTTTGTAGTGGAATGATGCGTATGTATGTGTACACGTATGTACATGTTTATGTATATCCAAATATTCGTAGCTTACGGACCATTCGATCTTTTCTCGCATACATACGCGCGCATGCATCTATATACATGTTTGTGTTTGATCTATACCACACTGTGTATATATATATATATATATATATATCAAAGTTTCGTGATCAATTTGTGATTGTATCTTGTTGCAGCCTAGGAATGCCTTCTACAACTCACAGAACATGTCTTGAGGTTTGATTAATTTGCGACATATCTCAAATTGTTATTGTGGATCGGTTATTAATTAATCTTCCCTTTGGTTATGGACTATTCATCTAATTTTATCATCTGATATTAATTTAGGGTTTTATGTGTACGCATAGAAAATAATCGGTGCATACTGTAAGATTTTTTCTATGGCACGAACGCTTCCTTATACTCCTTATTCTATATGCTTTAATTAATTTCGGACGACTTGGTTTGGTTCGTTTCATCGTTTGGTTTTTTTTTTAATCAAATTATAATCGATGAAAGCTTCTTTCAATACTTCCAATTTCTCGTCGGTCGAATCGATATAGAAATAAATGACGTTCATAGCTTGATATTTTCTTTTGGTAATGTGCCACTATACGCTTTTGTCGAAGCGTAGTCTTCCATTTGTTTTATTTTTTTGGAGAATTCAAAAAGATTGAGAAAATTCTATCGGTTGTAAAATCCGAGGAATATAAACGATCCAAAAGATTATATAGTTGAGTAGAAATGGAAGTCAACCGTTTAAGAAAATGAGGAATATAATTTCTCTTATAATTGTACATTTTTTAAAAAAAATATCCTTTTATAAAAAAAATGTGAAAATTAGGCCGATGTGATAATCATGAGTAAAATAGGATGATTCGGAGAGAAGATTGGAGAATTTGTTTGTATATTGAAGAGACTTAATTCTATTTCTCGATAGAGTACGAACATATATACATAAAATCTTTCATGAAAAATAGAAAGAAAACAGAAAGGAAATAATCAATTAAAAGAAAACAAATAAACGGTAATGAGAGAATGAGGAAACAAAGATCGATGGAGAAGGAAAGTCTCCATCCATCTTTGTGTTCGAGAAGATTCTAATCCGAGACTTCAGTAATCTTTTTGTAATGAAGATGATGATGAGTTGGGTTGTAAGCCCACTTGAGATGACATGTGTGTGTCCAAAAGACTTGGGCCTGAAAGCCCAAGACATGAATCAGACGTGAGAATCTTGTTCGTGTCTACATGTATCTTCTTCCATGTCCGAGACTTCCGATCCTTGAGGGCGTCCGTCTTCGTCAATATTCCCCCTCAAGCTTGGCATATGAGTATCATACATGCCAAGCTTGGAGAGAAGATCCTTGAGGGTGTCCGTCGAAGTAGCCTTGGTGAACATGTCGACAAGTTGGTCGGCACTGCGTGTGTAGCTAAGCGAAATGATTCCTTGAAGTACTTTCTCCCGAACAAAATGGCAGTCAACTTCGATGTGTTTGGTACGTTCGTGGAAAATGGGATTGGTGGCGATGTGAATGGCCACTTGATTATCACAATGGAGAGTGATCGGCGATGAAGAAGTGATGCCAAGTTCCCCGAGAAGGGTCTTGAGCCATAGTAGTTCAGAAGTCGTATTGGCCATGGCACGATACTCTGCTTCGGCACTCGATCGCGCAACGACAGATTATTTCTTGCTCCTCCAAGTGACTAGGTTTCCTCCGATGAAAGTACAGTAGCCAGTGGTGGACTTCTGATCTCCCTTGTCACTAGCCCAATCCGCATCGCAATAGCCAACAATTTCTGTGTGGTTGTTCTTCGTCGTCCATACGCCTTTCCCCGACGATCCTTTCAAATAACGAAGAAGACGATCGACCATATGCCAATGATGTTGTGTAGGTGCATGCATGCATTGGCTAACCTGATTCATAGCAAAGCTAAGATCAGGTCGAGTAAGTGTAAGATAAATTAACTTACCCACGATTCGACGAAAACGACCAATGTCAGGATAAGGTGAGGCGTCCGTGAGATCCTTGTAATTTGCTTCAAGCGGAGTTCGTGTTGGTTTGGCGCCAAGCTTTCCTGCATCACTCAATAAATCCAGAGTATATTTCCGTTGGGATAAAAACAAACCCTTAGAGGAACGATGAACCTCAATGCCCAAAAAATATTTGAGCTCACCAAAATCTTTGATGTCAAACGTGTCCTGCAAGTAAGCTTTTGTGTCTGCAATCCCTTGATTAGAATCACCCGTAAGAACAATATCATCGACATATATAAGGAGAACGACTATGCCATGGTCACACATACGCAAGAACATAGAGTGATCAACATTACAACGTGAAAAACCAAATGCGAGTAAGGCATCATGCAATTTATGGTACCATGCTCGAGGGGACTGCTTAAGGCCGTAAATGGATTTTTTAAGGTGACACACCATCCCCTTTTCAAGGGGAAATCCCGGAGGAGGTTTCATATAGAGCTCCTAATCTAGATCGCCTTGAAGAAACGCGTTTTTAACGTCCATTTGCCAAAGACACCAATCGAGATTAATAGCAAGAGAAAATAAAATGCGAACCGTAGCAAGTTTAGAAACTGGAGCAAAGGTGTCGGTGTAGTCTTCCCCGTAGGTTTGAGTGAACCCTTTAGCGATGAGACGAGCCTTGTAACGTTCGATGCTACCATCACTTCGGAATTTGATCTTATAGACCCATTTGCACCCAACGGCCTTTTTGTCCTTCGGTAACTTTGTCGGTTCCCATGTTCCATTACGTTCCAAAGCATTGATTTCATCCACCATCGCATCTTGCCAAACCTTTATATCCTTGGCTTCTTCATACGTCGAAGGCTCGTCTTCATTATCTAGCTTGCTTAAAAAACCTGTTCATGCAAGTCAAGGGCAGATAACGAGTAATAATCATGCAAAGGGTATTTTAACGAACCATGGGCGTGATCTTTTGCATGGCAGCAAGATTTCTTTGTAGGCAAGACACTATCCCTTTGTTGCATGAGTTGTTGTTCTCGCTTATTCTGAAGACGAGTACTTCGACGGGGAAGTACAGGATCATGCAACTCAGCAAGAGTATGAGTGATAATAGTCGTATTATCATGTTGGTCTGTCTGCACCTCAGCATGCACCTCGACAGGTGTACTAGTGTCTTCATCGTGCTGGTGAGCGTCATCAGGAGCTTCAGGAATATCAGCAATATGTTCCCCCTCAAAGTTGGCACCATTTGTTGTAGGATCTGCTTCGTGTTCTCTTCCTGTATTACGAGGCATACCTGGGTCTGTTGTGCGAGAGTTCTGTTGACGAACCGACTCAAGGATGTCATGCAGTGTTGAGTCGTAGGTCGGTGAGTATGCTGTCAAGGGGGCCAAGTCATCTCGGTCAGATTCCTGAAAGAAGCCTTTGCTTTCATCGAACCGGACATCTCTAGAGACATATATACGCCGAGTTTCTGGATGATAACACTTGAAGCCTTTTTTATCAGTGGAATAGCCCGCAAACATGCACTTGAGACTCCAGGAACTAAGGCAAAACATACACAACCAAACACACGTAAGTGATCCAAAGAAGGTTTATGTAGATTAAGTACCTCGAATGGTGATTTATCCGCAAGTATCTTCGTTGGTAATCGATTGATGAGATAGCAGGCCTAGTTACGGCATCACTCCAGAACCGCTTCGGAACATTTCGGTGAAACATGATCGTTCGAGTGATATCCAAAAGATGGCGATTTTTACGTTCAGCCACTCCGTTTTGCTGAGGCGTGTGGGGACAAGTTTTTTGATGTTGAATCCCATGTGCGGAGATGATGATTGGAAGCGGTTGCTCAAATACTCTCCCCCATTGTCCGATCTAAAGATCTTGATCTTGGCATCAAAATGGTTAGTGACATATACATGAAAATTGATAAACGCATCAAAGACATCCCTTTTGGATTTAAACAGTGTAATCCATGTATATTTGGATTTTTCGTCAATAAAAGTCACGAAATATTTATTATTATCACGAGAATGACAAGGTGTCGTCCAAACGTCCGAGTGAACAAGATCAAAACAATGCAAATAAGTAGTGGTAGAAGAAGGAAAGATAGTGCGACATTGCTTTCCCAAAGTACAAGCCTCGCATAAATCATTCGCAATAGTCTTGTGAGGAAACAACAAATGCATGACTTTATTTGTGGATGTCCTAAGCGTGCATGCCAAATGGTAGATAGTGCAACTTCAGAATGCAAGTGCAAACGATCTAGAAGGTAGAGATTGTTCTTGAGAGATCATTTACCAAATACCGCTCCCGTCTTAGTATCCTCAAACAATACTTCGTTAGCATCAAAAATAGCTTTGCAATCTAAATCAGAAGTAAGTTTTGGAATGGACAAAAGATTAATTTTGAAATCAAGAACATATAGTGCATTTATATCCTTTTCAAAAAGTCGAACAATTCCTTGGCCTTGAATCGTGGAATTGATCCCATTAGCCACCGAAACTGTCCCATACCTCTTTTCTAACTTATCAAACATATTAACATCATAAAACATGTGATTAGTAGCTCCAGAGTCAATAATAACAGAGGAAGAGGGTGAAGGCTGAGTACTCGATACAATACCAGATTCGGTGGCGGATTGAATCAGTTGCTTGAGAGTTTTGTACTCAGCTTCTGAGAATAACTCAGTGGTAGAGGTAGTCAGGGCTGAATGTCGGCTAGAAGGACCCTGATCACGAAATTTTTGAGGACGAAGGTGCGGATGGAGAATCCAGCACTTATCTTTGAAATGTTCTGACTTTTTACAGTGCTCACAAAACGGAGTTTTCTTATCCCGTGATGAGGGTTGGAACTTTCGAAAATGAGCAAGTTCAGTGGTACCTTGAAACAAGTTCCTTCCTCCTTCTTCACGTTTGATGTTCATACAAACCTCGTTGAGAGAGGGGAGCTCTGTTTGGCGTAGAACATGGTGAATCAGATCACCATACGTACCATCCAGAGAAAGAAGAAGAGTATAGACTTTGTCTTGCTCATTCCGTTGTGCAATGATTTTGGAGTCGGTAGATACGGGTCTGAGTTCGTCTAGCTCCGCCCAAAGCGCACTAAGTTCACCGAGAAGCTTGTTGAATGGTTGTCCCCTTTGAGTGATTGTATGAAGAGATTTCTTGAACTCATAAATACGGCTTGAGTTGGAAAGGTTACCGTAAATCCCTTCCAATGTGTCCCACAGATCTTTTGGTGTGTCCTTGTGAATATAGGTGGAGAGAACCGAGGCTTCGAGCGAGCTATGGATAAGAGAGAGCACAAGTTGGTCCTCCTGAAACCATGAGCTCTTTTCTTCCTCCGATTTTTCCACGATAGTAATGGTCCCATCTTCAGCTGTAACAGTTTTGGGAGGTAGAAGTTTGATGTGTGTCCACAGGCCTCGACTACAAGGTCGTTTTTGCAGCCTTGGACCAGATAGTGTAATTGTTGCCATTGAAGTAGATAGGTATAAGCCTCTGAGAAGATTGTTCCATCAGCACGGAATAGGTGAAGAAAGGGTAAACGAGAAATTAAAAACAATGGATCAAAGCTCTGATACCATGTGAAAATTAGGCTGATGTGATAATCATGAGTAAAATAGGATGATTCGAAGAGAAGATTGGAGAATTTGTTTGTATATTGAAGACACTTAATTCTATTGCTCGATAGAGTACGAACATATATACATAAAATCTTTCATGAAAAATAGAAAGAAAACCGAAAGGAAATAATCAATTAAAGGAAAACAAATAAACAATATTGAGAGAATGAGGAAACAAAGATCAATGGAGAAGGAAAGTCTCCATCCATCTTCGTGTTCGAAAAGATTCTAATCCGAGACTTCAGTAATCTTCGTGTGATGAAGATGATGATGAGTTGGGCTGTAAGCCCACTTGAGATGACATGTGCGTGTCCAAAGGACTTGGGCCTGAAAGCCCAAGACATGAATCAGACGTGAGAATCTTGTTCGTGTCTGCATGTGTCTTCTTCCATGTCCGAGACTTCCGATCCTTGAGGGCGTCCGTCTTCGTCAATAAAAAAGTCCAATATTACTGTCCATGTTCTATTCACGTATAGGTCAGTATAAATAATAAATCGGAATGAACGCTATGTCACTGATATCGAGCTGAGACCTCGGCCAGGTCGATGTAAATACTGTTGAGTCCGAAGGGAGAACAGGAAATAATTCCAGCAAAGACGACGATGTGCATGGACAAATATGATGTGCATGGACTCTGGACGCAGCGAGAAGAGCATGCACATGGCCCAAACAACATGCAAGGCCCAACATCTCTCAGTAAAGATGCAGACGGCCCAACAACAAGCTGAGGCTCAATCGGATAAGAGGACGAAATACACATGGAAAGTAGGAAAGGAGTCGTTTGCACTATGCCAATTGGATTAAATCATGGAGTATCAACTCTGAAGAGAAAAAACAATGTTGTCATATCATCGTAATGTGTATTATGATTATATACATGTTTCCTAGTATATTGTTTTGTTTACTTTTTTATTTCTTTCCTACAACGTTTGCACTATGCCAATTGGTATTTTCTTTCTAAAACTCTTGCAGAAACCAAATTCTGGTCAAACCTCATTTCTTTACTTCGTATTTGTGTATGATCTTGTACTCGTATATTACAAAAGTTACAAACGCATATCGGTCACGCTCAGGACGATGAACCATTCATCGACCACACAAGCAAATAATATAATAGAAAAAGTAATGAATTTATATATCAATAAATCAATACATGGTCCAAATGTCATATCATATCACTTGTTATCCTAGAGTATCACAACCAATATGTTAGATTTTGGAGATCTCTAAACATGCGCTAACCGCGGTTTTTAGGATTCCAACTTAGTATTTCATGCAGCAGAAATGGATAAATGAAACCTATGTTTGGAGTATAAACTTGTTTTGGTTTCCTAGAAGTTTGTGTTCATCTAAAATCTTGTGTTCAAAGTCCAACACATGGTATTTTGTGAAGTTCCTAGAATTCTAAAACTTAGACTAAATTAATATTGTATGATTATGAAGAGTTCCTAGAGTCTTCCTAAGGCTAGTACATATATGTGTGTCATTTGAAGTTTGTAATAACAACACAAACACAAGAAAAGAAAAGAAATACAAAGAGTATTCAACGAGTATTTTTTTATACTTCTTCTCCTCTCATTATCTATACTTATAAAGTATAGGAAAAAAAGCCTAAGTGCTTACAAGTGGTATCAGAGACGAGATATCATGGCGTCGACGAGCTCGATCCAATCACAAGTTCCGAAACTTACGAAGGACAACTATCGTATGTGGAGTATTCAAATGGAGGCTCTTCTAGAGTCCCTTGACGTATGGGACATGGTGGAGAACCTCCACGGTTATGACGAGACGGGGATGAAGAAGGAGAATGACGAGGAGAAACTCAAAGATCTCCGAAAAAAGGAGAAAAAGGCGTTGATCACGATTTATCAAGGAGTTAATGAAATGACGTTCGAGCTTATTGCATCGGCGAAAACATCCAAAGAAGCTTGGGAAATTTTGAAGAAATCATATGAAGGAGTTAACAAGGTGTAGAAGATTCAGTTGCAATTTTTACGATCGCAATTCGAAAGTCTACAATAAGGGAGTTCTGAGTCGATCTCGAATTATATTTCACAGGTAATCACCATCGTTCACCAAATGGAGACAAATGGCGAGACGCTGAAGGATGTTCGGGTCATGGAGAAAATTTTGAGGTCTCTTGACTCAAAATCTGAATATGTGGTCATTGCATTGAAGAATCGAACGATCTAGATACGATGACGATGGAGGAACTTCTTGATTCTTTGAAAGCATTTAAAGATAGACTGAATCGAAGGAAAGGAGATGAAAAGTCTATTGAGCATGCGCTAGAGGCGAAACTCTCTCTGAAGACCCAAAAATCGAGAGGAGGTTATCAACACCGAAGAGGAAGAGGTGGAAATTACAGACGATGAGGTTATGGACCAAATCATCGAGTGCCGACCAACAATCATAATGATGATGGAGAAAATAATATAACTGATCACTATGGTCGTGGCGAAAGAGGTGGTTGAGGCCGAGGTTGGGACCGAGGTCGTGGTCGTGGATTTGGAAGAATCAATGGAGAAAGGTATGATAAATCCACGATTCAATGCGATTTTTGTCAGAAACTTGACCATCACTCCAATGATTGTTGGCATAATCCGAACAATAAGGGAAAATATGACAAATCCGGAACCCAATGTCATATTTGTAAGAAGTTCGATCATTACTCGTATGATTTTGGCATAATCCCGATAACAATGGTGGAAAGAAAGCTAATATGGTGGAAAAAGAAGACGATGATGCAGAACAAGTGCTGATGTTATCCCAAAATTAAGTCGGACCAAGCAATGAGTCGGAACCGTTTGTTACATGGTTTATCGACACGGGAGCATCCGATCATATATACGGAAGAAAGGAACTGTTCACAAAACTTGACGAAAGAAGTTTTGGAAATATCACGTTTGGTGATCGTTCAAAGAGACCGATAGAAGGAAAAGGTGATATCACGTTGACCTTCCAAAACAAGAGAGGTTTGCATTTCCAACGTCTATTATGTTCCCGATATTAAAAGTAATTTGTTGAGTGTGGGACAATTGTTGGAGAAAGATTTTGATGTAAGGTTGAAGAATACATCCCTTACCATCCGTGACAAAAATGACAAATTGATCTCAACTGGGATGAAGAACATGATGTTTCCGTTGAGGCTGAGAAAGATGAGGAGCATTCGGGAGGTTTATTCAACTCAACCGATAGAACCCGAGTTTGATGAAGAGTTTACTAATTTTTGTCTCTTTGCTGGATTTGATCCAATGACATATGAAGACGCTTCTAGGGAGAAGAAGTGGATGAAGGCCATGGGAGAAGAGATTCAAGCCATATGAAAAAATAATACTTAGGAACTCACTTCATTGCCGCAAGGGCACAAAGTTATTGGAGTTAAATGGGTGTTCAAAACAAAGAGGAACGTCAAAGGAGAAGTGGAAAGGCATGCGCAAGGTTGGTAGTGAAAGATACAAACAGAAGTATGGAGTCGACTACGAAGAAGTATTTGCTCTTGTAGCTCGACTGGAAACAATGAGATTATTAATCTCACTCGCAGCTCAGAAGAGATGGAAGATATACCAGATGGAGATAAAATCAACGTTCTTGAATGGAAATCTTGAAGAAAAAGTATATGTTGAACAACCGTCGGGATTTGTTATTAGCGGGACATGAGGAAAAGGTATACAGGCTGAAAAGGGCTTTTTATGGGCTCAAGCAAGCACCAAAAGCTTAGAATATCAGAATCGATGCTTACTTTATTAGAGAATGATTCCTGAAGTGTCCATATGAGCATTCCTTATACGTGATGTGTTATTCATATATCTATATGTGGATGATCTGGTATTCATAGACAATAAAAACACCATGATTCGAGAATTCAAGCAATCGATGGAGAAAGAGTTTAAGATGATGAATCTGGGCATGATGAAATATTTCTTGGGCATCGAAGTACATCAAGGTGAAGGTAACATTTTTATCTCCCAGGAGAAATATGCGAATGACATTTTGCAGAAGTTTTCTAGGGATGATTCTTTGCCCACAGACACACCGGTGGAGTGTGGTACAGGATTGAAAAAAGAAGGAGAAGGAAACTCCGTAAACCCGATATATTATAAGAGTCTTGTGGGTTGCTTGAGGTATCTGACTTGTGCCCGATCTGATATTTTATATGGAGTAACGTTGGTTAGTCGGTACATGGAGAAACCAAAGTCCTCCCATCTTGAAGTTGCGCGGATTCTCAGATACATCAAAGGGGCAGTTGGTTACGGGTTGTTATATTCATCTAAAGGAGAAGCAGAACTCATTGATTATAGTGATAGTGATTGGGCTGGAAGTTATGATGATCGCAAGAGCACTACCGGGTTTGTGTTCTATTTTGGTTATGCAACATTTACTTGGTCTTCAAAGAAGCAATCGATTGTTGCTCTGTCAATATGTGAAGCGGAATATATAGCGGCATCTTCGTGTGTTTGTCATGCTATATGGTTATGGAGACTTCTTGGAGAATTGATGTTGAAGCAAGAAAATACGACGATGATTAACGTGGATAATAAATCAGTTATTGCTCTGGCGAAGAACCATGTTCATCATGAGCGTTCGAAGCATATCGACACACGATTTCATTTTATTCGAGAACATGTCAAGGCTAAAGATGTTGATTTATTGCATGTGAGTTCAGGTGACAAAGTTGCAGATATTTTTACGAAGGCTTTGAAGACAGATGCATTTCAATCTTTTCGGAAACAACTCGAAGTCCAAGCTCGAGGAGGAACAAGTTTAAGGGTGGATAATGCTGGAGTATAAACTTGTTTTGGTTTCCTAGAAGTTTGCGTTCATCTAGAATCTTGTGTACAAAATCCAACACATGGTATTTTGTAAAGTTCCTAGAATTCTACAACTTAGACTAAATTAATATTGTGTGATTATGAAGAGTTACTAGAATCTTCCTAAGGCTAGTATATATATGTGTGTCATTTGAAGTTTGTAATAACAACACAAACATAAGAAAAGAAAAGAAATACAAAGAGTATTCAAAGAGCATTTTTTTATACTTTTTCTCCTCTCATTATCTATACTTATAAAGTATAAGAAAAAAAAGCCTAAGCGCTTACAACCTAAATCAACAAATATTGCATGTAATGAAAAAGGTATCGATATAGCAATTTGTTTCGATTCAATGGTTTGTCATGAACACTGAAATCAAACGTTCTCTACATATAGTGCACATTCATGGACTGAGACGTCTATGAAAGCATGATATGGAGATCGAGAACGGAAACCGAGAGAGAACGGGAGGAGGACGTCGTTGTTGACGAGCTAGGGGGCGACGACCTTAGTTTCGTTTTCATACACACCCCTAAAAAATGTGTCGTACACATTTCTTATAACGTATTGGGTCACCGAAACCAATCACAAAGATTTCTAATCAGTTTTTCAAATTGATCGTTGATCAGAACATTTTATCCATCCCAAAAGGGGTTACGTTAGAACATGTAGGTGTTGCATCAGAACATGTTGGGGTTGCGTCTCAACATTATGAGTTGTGTTGAAATATGTTGGAGTTGTATTAGAATATGTTGGGATTCTGTTGTAATATGATAGAGTTGTGTCGGAACACGTTCGAGTTTCGTTGGAACATTTTTGTATTGTGTCTGAATATGTTGGAGTTATGTATGAACATGTTGGATTTACATAAAAACATGTTGGTATTGCATCATAATATATTGGGGTTGTGTCTGATCTTGTCGGATCGTGATAAGCCTTTGCGTGTGTATACGAGAGGACACAATACATTTTTGTATTGTATCTGAATATGTTGGAATTGTGTATGAACATGTTGGATTTACATTAGAACATGTTGGTTTTGCACCATAATATATTTGGGTTGCGTCTGATCTTGTCGGTTGTGATAAGCCTCTGCGTGTGTATACGAGGAAGAAGAGAAGGCCCAGAGAGGTAATTTTGACCCAGAATCAGAAAGAGGGGCCCACAACAGCACTAATGGGAGAGCAGGAGCAGCGCAGAAGATTTCACAGGGGATTACATCTTATGAAAGGATAATTACTTAGGCAATTCGGTGTGGGTAGGTTGTTGTAGAAAGTGTCACCTCAACAAGTTTGTTATGGAGGAAGGCCTATATCTATTTTTCGTTTTTCTTTGAGATGGGTTATCTGAGAACTTGAATCTTATGTGCAGAAAGAGAGGTACGTCTCCTAGTTGATTGTATTTCTTCTCTGTTTGGAATACAATTGGTATTATCTATCTAAATCTATATACATATTCTAACAGGTTGCTTCGAAAATAGTTGGGATTACAGTCAAACATATTGGGATAACGTCGGAAAATGTTGAGGGTACATCGAACCATATTGGAGTTGCGTTGGAACATGGTATAGTGTCGAAACATGTCAGGGATTGCGTTTGAATACGCCGGAACTAATCAGAACACGTTGATGTTGGTGCGTTGTAATATCCTTCAGAACGCTAAGGTGCAAGGGAAAGATAATTGGAGGCAAAACAGATGATTGAATTCGTCAGTATTGAGATTTTGTGATTGACATTCACAATACTTGTGATGGATGATGTCTCCGCAGATTTCAGATATGCACTCGTGGTGGTGCTGAAAGCTATTGCAATGAGCAATTTTGAAAGGCTGAGGAAGTTGTTCCAATGAGCAATTTTGAAAGCTATTGCAAATTTTGAAACCCTGCAACAATAAAATGGCGTCTTGCCTGCATACCATCCGAAGATGTTGTTATCTTTGGAATTTCTCTCGAGTTAAACTGCTTCTTGCAAACTCATGCAATTTTATACATTCGTTTGATCTTTCTCACCAGTGATTTGTGTTGATAAATGGCTGAAATTTCTCATCAACAGTTTCACTCTCTGTCTGCAAAACCCGTAGCTTCTTACAAACCCTATCCGTCACTGCGCTTTAAGTGGATACTGGAAAGTGCCATGAAATGAAAGACGTCAAGAAAATCAGGGTAGATGTCACCTTGATTGTGCTAACTCTCTCAATCAAACGCAAAAAGTTCATCCAGCTGCTCGTCTGTCCACTGCGGCACCGAGGTGGTGGCTGGTACTGGCTGCATTTTCTCAACCGAGCTTGTAGGTAGCAGTTGCATTCTGTCAACCTTATTGTCTGTTGCATATTTGTCGCAGATTCCCGTTTCATACCCTGGCCGACTATGATGCGACTGATGGCTTTTACCCACATGCTTCTCCAGCCTGACCAGCTCATCCACCAAAAGCTCTTGCCAATTGTCTTTATCAATATCGATTGCAACACCGTCTTGTGGTCGCCTTTCAGGATTCAAGAATTTTCCCTGAGGAAACTTGCCGGTTGTCCTGTGTGCTGCAGCAGTTTCCGTTTTGCTGTTTGAATCTTGATTCCTCATGAGGACCTGCTCCACTCCATGTTCATTTTGATTCTTGTTAACATCCTTAAGTGAGATGATTTCCTCTGCTGGATTATCATCTTCCATTTCTACATCCTTAAGTGTCTCGCCGCTTGCATGAGCATTCCGCCTAAGACTGTTCATGATTCCATCAGTCTTTCCTTGATCGAAAGAAAATCTCTTGGGTACGGTTTTCAAACATTTCTCAGTTTCTGTTAAACATAAGAAAACAAGTGAAGATTGAATGGTATTCAATGTATGGAAAAAAAAATGCATGAGCTATTGTCATGTCAATAAAACCTCGGAATTCAGGAAATTGAAACACTTATCGATACCTGGAACAGGATCCTTGGCACTCCTTGCAGGGTTTTCTTGCTCTACTGAAGGAAGAGTATCGCGTATGATAACCTGTAAGGGATGTCAGTCTTACGGGATCTTCCTCTACTCCGATGAGAATAAGTATGTGCAATTGCCCACAAGACCAGCAGAGGTTAAAAGAGAGCAGATAGCACGTACTACCTTGGAGATGTTGTTGAGTGTTATATTGAGGAAACATGATAACCGTGACGGTGTACATACAGCAACCTGCAGAACACCATATCTCAGTCAATCTCCATAGCTACCTGAACTAAAATAGGAAAAGCAACAGTGTAACTTCACAGTCTTGACATCATTGTTGTTTTCTCCATTGTAGGAAAAGCAACAAACCTTCTTAAGTATCAGCACAGCACCGGCACGTATATCCCTTCCAAATTCACTCTCAGCTACAACTTTCCTATGAACACTAGCATCAATCGTTCCAGTAGGATCCTAACAGCAGACACTCGTTAAAATTGAGAATGTACTTACATTGTTAAGAGCTTCTTCAAGCACATTTACCTTCAGAGTCATCATGAGATCTCCAAGGCCATTAGGGGTGCAAGTTTTGACGATCGCCACAACCTATTCAAAGAGGCCAACCAAAATTCGAATAAGCTTACTGCATTAAAACTAGACCTTCCATTAAACCAGTGGCAACAAAACAAGCATTGGTGGGGAGTATTGAGAATAAACTACCAGCTAATGGCTTAACCACAAGAACAAAGCTTAAAACTGTCTACAAATTCGGTTGCTCTACAAGTTGTGCATATAATTTGCCACGAAAAAACAATACAGGCGTATAGAGTTCATGCTCAAGCGAACTAAAGCCAAAGCGTAGTACGTACCTGATTGACCTTATCCCAAGTGCCAAACCCGCTCTTGATCACACTCACCGGCGTTCCAATAGCAACTCCATCATCGCCAAGCAACCCTAAAGAATTAATTAAACAAAATCCCAAAGAACCAACCATGCCCATGAACATGCCTAACAAGCCACAACAACTTCGAGGCAATATATATATATACTACCTTCACTGCGAATGTAATCAACACAAGAAATCCATGGATCACGCGAGAAATCCTCATCTTCCTTATCAGGCTCTTCCACAGCCCTGCGTATGTACTCTTGAGTAGGAATCGGATCTCCCTGATCGCCGTACGAACTCGGATCCTTCCACTCCTTTCTGCGCATGGCGATTTGAACGGCAGCGGCAGGTCCTGGAATCAAATAACGAAAATAAGAAGATTCCGGCGGCGGAGGATTCGGATCAAGAAGAGGCTGCCTAGTTAGGGTTTCGGAGGACCGTGAAGAAGAGCAACGCCGAAGAATCTCAAGGGGATTAGGGTTCCTAACGAGAGTTGAATCCGGATTATGCGGTGGAGGATATTTGCGATTGCGGGGGAGCTCTGAATCGTCGACGTCGAGAGCTTCCCACGGATCTGCTTCCGCTTGGGATTTCATATCTTCCACTGGGAAATGGCGGGGAAAGGACACGAGGTACAACATATATATATATATATATATATATATATATATATATATA